GTCGATGTTCAATGGTTTGATTATGTTTGCCTTCAACATCCTTTCTACCTCTTTTCCTATGAAGTCTTCATTTTCCCATGACTGTCTGTAGCGTTTTGAGTAAGCAACGCCATCAGGTTTAGTATCGATTCGATGTATGGCTGCAGTGGTTTGTCCTAATTGCATTAAATCCTCTGCAAAGATGTCTTCATATTGCTTCAAAAGGTCTTCAATGACTTGATCTTGGTCGGGAGTGAGAGTCTTAAGGAATGGTGATGGTTTGTCTTGGATCTTTTGTCCTGCTGCTACCATTTCGGGTACTGGTGTAATTGCTGGTAACAATATTAACTTAGCTATAGGTTCTCCAGGATGAAGGATTTCTGGGAAGGGAGCTATGACATGAACTCCGATTCGCTGCTCCGATGAAACATAGAGCATGTTCACTACGTAAGTTGCATTGGGATTGCATGCTGTGACTAATCCAATGGTGTTTGGTGGTAAATTCAAATCGATTCCTGTAGGTACTATGGTTGATCCTTGAAGGTTGACATCTTGGTTCGTGTAGAGTAAGTAACCATCTTGAACTAATTTTGGCATTCTGGCTTCTGGTGTCCATAGCCGGCACTGTAGTGCACCGATTTGCTGCCAATTAGTTGGAAATGGTGCTTTCACATTTTCCCTTGGTTGTAGCCTTACTCTGTTCTTGATCTTGCCTTCTGATTCCAATTGAGCGAGTTTCTCTTCTGGCAATTGTGATATAACTCTACAGGTTTGAACCATCCAAATACAATGTCCACAGTGGTCTTCTGGATCATTGAGTCTTGATCAATCCCAACACTGTGTTCCTGGTCCCTTGTAGTGAAATTTTCGTTCATGACTATTAGGTAAGCGAGTGAGTTTAGTCTGCATTTTCTTGACTTCTTCCCATTCGATTGGTTCATTATCGATTATGCAACATTCTTCCTGGATTTCGCAAGTCACATTCCGCTTCTGATGCTGGTGCAGAATGTATGGTACTTCTAAGTTGTAGACTTC